TGAACTGTTACTAAATGCTTTTCCAAACTATCAAACACAAATATAAAAGCAGCACGTTTGCCAATAGCTTTACAATGATCCGGATCAAGTACAACTTTGTCATCCTTGTCTACAATACAGTGCACTGCAGCAATGGTAAATTTCATGGGCACCCCGCCAATGAGCAAAGCCAGACATGCTCCGTTTATTGCACATGCTTCAAGCTAGAAAAAATTCAAGGTCTGAGTACTTTCAACTAGTTTATCCTCTTTACTTACTCCACATCTATTATCCAATTCTTGTATTTGTATTGAAATGGTTGTACGAGGGTGCAACGTGGTTAGCAGTGCCGATTCACAAGTATCACGAATAATACTCTCCCTCAATTTGTCTTCTATTGTAGGTACGCCAGCTTTTGGTCGGTAAATACATTCCACGTGGGCTTTTTCTATGTTAAGGTTCTGGGATCTCACTTCCACTGGGCCGAGCATTGAACAAAGAACGCATGTATCTCCTAAACAATGTAAAGGTAAAGTTAAGCCAACACCAAGTTAAGGATATGCAAACCTTGCGTAAATAAAGCTGATGCATCCGGGCGGGTTAGAGGATTTAACTCGCAATTTATTGGGCGCAGCTTTAGGTCGTCAGTGGATGTATCATTTCCTTTGATGTCTATACTAATTGTTTCATCAACAGCAATCATTTCGCTTAATATTCAGCTTAAACTACAATTAGATGGAAAATAGACGTGGAGAAAACATCGATGGTTGATGGCGACTATCGAGGTTTCCTTTATACACTTTTGTGAATGTAACCGGCCGTCTTCACGTGCTGGAAAATCTCGCATGCGTGACGACGCATGCATATATATATTTATAAATATGTATGAAAACAATGAAAAACATTTGATCTCATATTTTAATAGGCTATTATATTTAGCTTCACTTACATATCGACGCCTAGGTAAAAGATTGTCGTATGTTTCGCATTTACGTATGACGCTTACGACACTATTTTACCCATTCGACGATATATGTATGTCTGGAGTTGAATGCAGTTTCTCAAAAACGCGAAGTCTCTGAAGATGTTACTAGTTCGTAAAATTCTTAAATTATTTAATTTTTAATGTTTATTGTTAATTAGGTTTGAGTTGAAAAAGGATTTTCTTTGGTAAAATTTTGTCGTAAGCGTCAGTTGTCCACAATTTGGCAGCCGCTTTGTATGAAATACTACGATCAAAATTTCTACTAAATAAACGAAACTTTTTACTCAATATCTCAGAAATTAAAGGGGATATCAAAAAATGGAGAACGCCATTTTTAAGATATTGATTAGTTTAATATGACTGCTTCTCTAACTAAATTTTAGTCAATATCTCCACAACTAAAGGAGATATTTAAAAACTGATAACACCAATCGAAAGACCTTATTTCAAAATATATAACTGCATCTAGAACTAAAAATCGTCAAAATTGCGCTTACGACAATCTCGTACCCAGGCGACGAAATGTTGAACGCACAGTTGAACAATGCAAACACACTTTTAAAAACAAAAAGTATTTCAGGAGTTTTTTCAATGTATAGATTGAAACCATCGGGTAAAAAAATACTTGGTATCGCAACAAACGCATCAAGTATTTACTTGTACTCGCTGGTATCGTTTCATTCCTAGTTCTACGCTAGCGTGATTCGAACTCAAAGAAGAAGAAGAATATTTCCAATTGGATATGCATTTATTTGCTGGTTTATACATATGAAAACTGTGATTAAATATAAATACGTTGTAAAATGTTAAGTGTGCCCCGGTTTATGTAGTTTTCTTGTTATCCTTTGTGTAAACTAAGGTATTCCGTAGGAAAATGACAGATCCTTGGATGGTCCAAAATCCAGACCATAAAAATAATTCGGTAGAAAACGGTACAAGCGAGGACGAGATTCAGCAGCAGCACAGCAAAGAACATTCGCAGGGAGCACCTTTGGAATTTGAAGACAATTTCGAACCCGTACAAGCAACACCTACGGGAAATACTTCCGAAAACACACCTGAAGAGACACCCCCAAAGCGTAACGAAAAAAATAGCAACACCTCTGGCTCTCTAGAGCCATTGCCCGATTCTGACAATTACTTACGTGGACTCGGTATGCTGACAAACATGCGCACATATTTTTTTAACAGATTGTAGCATATTTTGCGGAAATATTCAAATAAGTAATTTAATAAATTATTCTATTTGTTTTTCATTCCCTAAATTAGAGCGAAAATTGCAGAAAATCAAAAAAGGTGCGAGTTTAGTAGAAGCATTAGCAGAGAAGCGCAACGATTGCTTACGCCAGCTATTAAATAGTGGGGATCCCGATAATAATAATGCCGTGTTAGCGCTAGATGAGCCTTTAAACAACCTTGAATTCTATAGACATCTTCAACCGGTACAGGCTCTTTCTGTTGGTGAGCTGGTGCACATTGTGAAGCACGACCAACTCCAGCAGGAACAGGCACAAGAAACTGCAGACAAGCAAGAGGATACAAATCAGGAGATTAAAAAAGATAAAAAAGAGGAGACACAAGAATAGACAGAAAAGGATAGATGCAAGCATGAATACACCATTCGGTGAAGTTTTCCTCTTCCTCACCGATTTGGCGTGGAAAAGTCGTGTTACTATACCAATGCTAGTAACGACGGCCTTCCTAATCATGGATATTCGTTTACAAATAGAAATAAATATACAATCCGGACAGGTGATATGCAAATTATCAGTATAGAAATGTTTAAGATGTATCAAATTATTTTTAGGCTGCTGCTGATTTAGATCAGCTTGATGAGGAAGATGATGATGAAGACGATGATTCGAGCGACTTTCTTACCGATGATTCGGAAGATGAGGATGAAAACGCAAATATGTATATGGAATTTGCGCATGCTGCTGAACATGAACGCAGCGAGCAGGAATACAACACTGCTAATCGTCTGCGGCG